GAATTCAAAATTGATTTTAATTGTCTGGTCCTTAAGACTCTGTGTCATTTCATTCACTTGTTTATCTTAATCCTAAACGACTCAATTATACAATTTAATCTCATTCAGTTCAATTAAGATAGCACTGGTCTGTATGAGTTATTTGTTTTCGTGGCACAAATCGATGTAAATGTTGTAAAAATACTTTGTTTAAATAAACATTCAATTACACATCCATTCCAACTCTGGTATAAACAGATAAATTTCCACTGATAAAATTTCCACACTAATTGTCAGCATTCAGTCCAGCCAAACTCTCCAATAAGTATAATAGAAGCAATGGGTGGGGATGTGGGAGTTCTTGGAACTATTCGGAAAAGGAACATCCCCTCATTTTCTGTTACTTCATGAATAAGATATACGTCACTTCACTTATATATGCAACAAGGTACATCATGTCATGTAGAAAAAAAATAATGACTTTTAATACCATTTCAAAAGTACGTGATGTGATATGTAGCTGACAAACATGTCGGTGGGCTTTTAATGAAGCTAAACAAATTGTTTCTGGCTCCATCATCGCACAATAATATATTTGGAATTTGGTTGGCATTTTGAAGGGATTTTTCAACAGTCTTTAACTGAAAACTGAGCACGTGATTGGCAGATGGCAGTAGCTAACCCTCAGGATGCATGCTTCAGCTTCATTTGTGTTGCCATCTCATTTCACAAGAGTGCCCCCTCTGGCCAATCAGATAATTGCAGGCACCTTGCTTTCATCAGCTGTGCAGTCTTTCATCAGGTACTGTGCAGCTCAGCCAGAGGTATGAAGGAACAGTGCTTCAGTGGCCCTGGATTAGCCCTTAATACAGGTGTGTTTTTGCATTGGTGTGTGCATGTGTGTTGATATGAGGCCAAATGAATGAAAATAAAATCACAACAAAGATAATAATAATCATAATCATCATAATCATAACTGTAATGTGGAAGTGGAGACCCTGGAATAGTGTATCCACTGTGAGAACCCTAACAAGGCAGCAGTAGCAGCAATGTCATAAATCAACAAAAGACCTTTCCCTATTCCTCCATCTATTTTTATCCTCCGTTTCGCTCCTCTCAGCTCCTCTCCTCTACCCCTCTGTTCCCCTCTGTTCCTGGATATTTATGTTGATTGTTTGCAGACTCCCTCCGCTCTCTGTCATTAATTAAAGGCATGGGAGGGGGAAGGCCTCTCGCATGTCCTGCAGGCCTGAGTGTTGATTTTCCCCGGAGGTTGCTTTCGAATTCCGGCGGTTGCCATCCGTTACGTGACAGGGCTGACTGCGCTGCGGTGCTGAGGAGCCAGATATGGCGAGCCAATACCCTCACCCTCCTTTTAAGAAAATAACCACCGCTTAAATTATTTCTTAATACATGTCATTCAGAATGAGGACTGCGCTGGTTCTGGTGCATATTGTTGCAGTCTGAGCTATAGCTAATCAAGGCAGATATACATTTTATCCAACTGGCTGTTTTCTGTGAATGTAAAATGTCTAAATATCTTTTTGACATTTTAATTGATTTTTTGTAATCTATTGAAATATATGTGGGGGGGGGGAGGTTTAAATATGGTGTCGGATCAATTCTGTTCGATCACACGGCACATTATACACAGAGGACAAAAAACCTCCAGAATCGGTTATTCTGTGACCTGCACAAACTAGTAATTGCATTAGGGAAGGTATGGAAAGTAACATGAATATTTATCAAACTGGTGGCTTACTACATGAGCAGCATCATACAGAAGATCAGTGTTCACATAGCACAAATATATGTACAATATATATGTAAGTACCCATATGCACATATACTTTTTTTTAAAGAGAGAGAATTTTCTCCATTAAATTTGGTAAACGCTGAACACACCAAACTGTGAAGAAAAATAATAATAAATGGCATGTTTATGCAGTCCTGTGGTGAATGTGAGGGAAAGGTTGAAATGACAGGGAGCAGTGAGACCATGGTTGAAATGACAGCCACTTTAAATGCAGAAACCGAATCCCTGTCTGAAATGACAGTCACACTTTACTGAGTCAGTGTGCAATTGACTTATCTGAGTGCACTCTGGGTAGCTATCAATGCAATATGAGAACCATCGTACGGCATTGCTTTTGCTTAGCAACGGGCTTTGTGTGAGCGCATGTGGGTGTGTGTGTGTTTGTGTGAGGGAGGGAGATTGTGAGTGTGTGTGAGACAGTGTGTGCGTGCCCATGCATGTGTGCATGTGTGTATGTGGGTCCATGTGTGTTTATGTGTGTGAGACAGGGTATGTGTTTGTGTGTGTGTGAGAGAGAGAATGTATGTGTGTGCTTGCATGCATGCATGTGTGTGTGTGCGTGCGTGTGTGTGTGTGCGTGTGCACGTGTGTCTGTGTGGATACATGTGTATGAGAGTTCATGTGTTCCTGAGTGTGTGTACATGCATATGGTTGTGTGGATACTTGCTTGTTTGTGTGTGAGTGAGTGTGTGTGTGTGTGTGTGTGTGTGTGGTGTGTGTACTTGTGTGTGTGTGTGTGTGTGTGTGTGTGTGTGTGTGTGTGTGTGTGTGTGTGTGTGCATGTGTGAGGGGCATGCCAGTCCAGCAGCATCAACCAGAATCTGAGATGGTGGGGTCAAACACCAGCATTGGAGAGACGGTCTGCAGTGCACTAATTTAGGGCCCACAGGTAATCCCGCGCGTGATGGAGTGCACCTCCGCCATGTTGCATAATGGGCCGATCTGCCAGTCTCAGGCATCCATCTCCATCTGCCATCGTAGTCCCTGGAAATGGCTGAAAGTGTCACATTACACGCATGCTAAACCAAGAGGAGCGCCCCTATCTCTCCCCTCTCCAACCAGTAATGCAGAACAGTCCCTGTCACACACAAGAATGGGGGAAAAAAGAAATGAGGGGTGTGTGTGTGGTTGTGTGTGTGTGTGCATGTGCTTGTATGAGTATGCATATATATGTGTGTGCCCATTTGTGTATGTATCCATGTTTGTGTTTGTATATTTATAGATGTGTGATTTTGCATGTGGGTGAGTATATATGAATGTTTGTATGTGTGTGTGTGTGTGTCTGCTCGCATGTGCATTTGGTATACTTTCAAATACAATGATTTTTTCCCCATATTTGTGTTAGTTTCCCATGTTCTCTGTCCTTTATGTCTCCACCATTACCATTTGACATTTTTTGACTGCCGCATCTCGGTGTGCGATGAGAAGAAGCGGATTCTGCACAGGGCATCACCCCGCCCCCAACCAAAGAGGTCAGCTGACCCGTCACATGTCACCCGACGATCCCCATGTTTTATTTTATTTATTTCACGCGCAACCTGGTTTGCAGTGGCAGAAAACCGCAGGCGGTCAAAGACCTCTCGCACGGAAAGGGTCCGCTACAGAGATCCGTGACCCGTATTCCAGTCATGTCACCGCCGTCCCCACAGTATCACCTGTTTTAACGAGGAGGACTTGGGAAGAGGGGAAGGGAAGGGAAGGAACCACGGCGGAATACATTCAACCCCCCAGTTCCGTCCACAGGGCCTCATTTATGCTTGAGTTGCCATTTGCTTTGGATTGGCTTACCATTTCCATTGGTGCCTGTGTGCTCACATGATGCAACAGAATGACATTCCGGCTCCTTTTTTATTTTTTTTTTTCGGGTGCCTGAATTCCTCACCCTGCTTACAAATGAAATCTGACTCTTATTTTTGTAGGTAGTTTAATTCTGAGGTTGGGAGCCTCATGCTGACTCACAATTACACGTACAAATTAATTGGTAGGATTCAGTTTGCAAGAATAACAAAATGTAGGACAACTTGTTCTTCCTTATGGCTGGGTTTCTCTTGTATTTTATGAAGATGGAAATGGAAAAATACATTTTTAGATTTTCTTTTTTATTTGAACCAACCCATTACAGGAATAGAGCAGTGCGATTCTTGACTGGATTTGATGAATTTGCAACATCTGCCAAGTCGGTTGAAATATGTGTTCAGGTTTTCTCTTTCTCCTCACAAATTAAAAATGAAATGACACCACCGAAGACTATACTAGACAGTTTTATATTTTTATTTCTTTTTGAGTTGGATTCACGTGCAAATTAACAGCTTACATGGTCCACAGTAAAGGTGTCAGTCATTTCCCTGTGCGCTGAGAATAAGCAGGATTTAGTTCCAGTAGCTTAATAGGACTAATTAATGAATCAGCTTTGTGAGCCAATCCAGAGCCCAAATAAGCTGAAATCTTCAACTCTGTGAAACCTAAAACAGTAAAACTGGACAAAGCACATCTGATATAGTCACAAATAACAAAACAAAACATTAAATCTGGATACAGTAAGTGCTTTTCGTTAAACTCTCATTTAAATCTTTCACAGCAGTTTGAATGGAGGGGAGAGTGTAAGCTGAAGTTAACTGTGGATTTTAAAAGAGTCCAGGCCGTTATTCATATCTGGTTAATACTTGTGACCTTCAATGTCACAGTAGCGATACCTCAGGGACGCCCAGACATTAGCCTCTCCTCAGCTCACTTTGGCCGATGTATATTGAGACGACCATCCTCTTATTTAACTTCAAAAGACAAGTGGGCAGCAGAGAACATTAAAGCTCGATAATCCTGTTCTAAAGTAAAACATTTTGCAAGGGCCCAAGCGTGGAGAAGAGCATTGAGTGACCACAAGTCTCTTTGAAGAGTTCCAGTCGACGGAAAGCACAGTCTGGCAAAACTGCAGCAAAAAAAGACTTGAAAAGACAGCGCAGCAACCGACAGACAGATGAGAGGTTGAACATTCGACAAACAGTTTGGACACCTGGGAGAGTGCTCGGCGAGGACTGTTTTCTTCTCTGTTTGTTCTGTCCTGTGTGCGTCCCCATCGATAATGGTGCGGCGTTTGCTTAGTTTAAGGGAGGCTGAGTGAAAGCGCTGACATTTTGCAAAGCAGCTCATTTGCACAGCTGGGTTTTCATGGTGGGAAAATAAATGGAAGTAATTTGCACTGGGGCTGAAGTAACAGTCGGATTCAAACCCATGACCACTTGGTTGTAAAGCAAATGGTCTAATCACTATACCATACTACCAATTTAAACTCATCGCATTTATTGCTGTTGGTTCAGTTTTTGCACTTTTTACCAAAAATCCAGGATTTCCTCCTGATTTTAATCATGCAGAGTCTGCTCATTGCTGTAGCCTCTCCTATCAGCTTTGAAGGGGGTCGAGTAGCACACATTATCACCTGTAAATGTCATGTTAGCCGTTGCTCCATTTCATCCCATGAGTTTCAGTATTCAAAGTCAGACCATGGGCTTGGCGAAAGAACCGTGGGCTAATCCATACTCTGGGAACCACATCTATGATCCGAGAAACATAAGAGCAGAGAACCACACAGGCCACAGGTCCCACAGGACCTACAGGCTAATCCACCCACAAGAACAGAGAGCTGTTGACCAATCAGCTCTCCCAATCATGGGTCACTCAGCACACTCGCATAGTGAAATAACAGAATGAACCCTCCAGCACTCCACACTGTCAAAAGTATTCATTTCATATTGTTTAAAATATCTTTATACAATTACAGATGAAGCCACAATCTCGTATTGCATTGCACGACACACCAAGAAAAGGAGAAAAGTAAATATAAATAACACCACTTTAAAATACGTTTTTCATAAAATAACTATCTAGCAAGCCAGACTGCAAGCAAAGTTTGTGAACACTGAAAAAAAACTCTTACAACGGCATTATAGAGTTATATTGGTTCGATAATGCTAAAACTAAACATATGGGAACTTGTGTTAGGTGTTTGTTCTTCTGTATCGACATCAGTGATATGAGTCAGTATTGAGGGAAGACCTGTTGCTAGTATGAGCTAATGTCAGCATCCACATAAAGACATCTTTCACATTACGTCTTCAATTAAATGTTCAAAGTGAAACCGTTCGATCATGGATAGCATCACCATAAACGCTGGCCACACCCACAATAAAGGCAAAAGTCCCACTATATAATACTATTAATATCTTCAAAAACTTCAATAGTTCCTGAATCAATGCAGATATGCTTATTGACGACTGCTCTAGCAATTATGCAGGAATTATAAGGCAGGACTTGATCATTAAGAATGCTAAGATGGGTTTCACTTGAAATGATGTACAGTGGAATAATACTACATAATGCATACATTAATTATGTATAAACCAATACCTCAGCATGAGGAATGCTTAAACGGCTTTCACATTAAAGCACGCAGACTGGAATATTACATTAAGTATCCACAGGACGTGTACATTATAAAGCAATACCTTAGCTTCATGAATATTGAAAAAGGTTGTCACTTAACAGTATATATGATACTCTGCCGTGGCATGTACTACACAAAGGATTAGCGTTTTTGCAAAGGTAACTTCAAGATTACATATGGAGTTAGCTTTGGGGTGAAAGGTCAAATGTTAACGATAAGGGCAAGTGTTGAAAATATGTCGTCTGAGAACTCAGCTTGGAGTCCAGTGAAAGACTAAACCTGTCAGGAATGACGGTTCGCCATCTGGTAAAACAAGGATAGGTGAGAATACTTTTATGTCCATTAACATCACGATTGACTCTTTGCTGTTGGAGCGACATGGCACACTTTTTTTGTATGAACGATCATTACGAGACCAGTACCAAAGGGACTCGTTCTCTCAGGCTGTTTTGGATTGGTCTTTGACATCACATGTGTGACCTCAAGTGGAATCATGTCCCAGTTAGCCTAGCATCCAATATAAGCATGCTTTACGGCCACCTTTAATGAAGGACGACATTTGCTTGAATATGCTTTATTGATTATTGTTTTGTGTTTGTGAAGATTTTCAATACACGACTTAAAGCCTTTGTGAGTAACACTGCTTAAGGTGTGAGCAGCACCCTGATGAAGACTGACAGCTTCTAAACTGCTCTGTAAGTCTGCCAAAGCAAACTGGGTTCGCTCTGATGAAATCCAGAGAAGATCCTCCTTAGGGTGTGTAAAGTGTAAGGAGCGCAGCGTCTTTGCCAAAATATGGGTGGCGTCAACATACTGCTTTGAAAATCTTTTGACATTTGTGGATATCCAACCTAATGAATTCTAGAGCTCCATAAAGCATCACTAAAGCTCAAACGGCTTTTGGCATTTCGCAGGCATCTGTTAACAGTTGTGTTCAACAACTTCTGTTATGTTCATGCAATGACATGAGTTTGCACTAATTCTCTGACTAGTTTGGTGGATATTGGTGGTGGATATTGGAATGACATTGATAGACAGGAAGACTGTAAAATGAAGTATCGTTGAGAAAGAGACAGCTCTGCGCTGTATGTATATGTACTCCATATTGGTGCCTGATATTAATTGAAGTAAGAAAAAATGTAACTTAAAAACAGAAATGATATCACTCTCGGACAGCTCCCAATAATATCGAACATCAAAATCTAAACAGCCATAGATTCAGTCAATATTTGTCCGGAGGTGTGAGACTGTAATCACCAAAGTTGTTTTCATCACTTTTTCCCCAAAATGCCGATTTGAAATAACTAATTGCATCCATAAGCTGAAGTCAAAAACGTGACCTTATCCTCCAGTTTAAAAGAACATAAACAAGCTAATTCTCCTCTCTGCAACGCATTTTCCTACCAGCCAATTGTTCGCTTCTTTTTGCAGTCCACACACTGAACTTACAGGCCTAGATTCATTAAAATGCATTGCTTCTTGATGGGATATTTTCTATTGTAGAAAGAAAAGAAAGCAATACAAAGGATATCTGCTTGTCTCTAATAAAATGTAACATACTTCATGAAAATTATGCTCTCATGCAATATTTTCATTGAGTTGTATAATTGTATAAAAAATTGTACAGTTTTGTTTAAATGTAGACCAGGGCAACCAAGGTGAGGTCCTGGAGATGTACCTACCGGGAGGTTTTCCAGTTGTCTCTCAAGGAGCACCACTTTTTACACTATGGCAGACGGTTTAACAAACTGAATTTGGAGAGTAATTTAAATCAGGTGCTGAACTGATTGTGTAAAAGGTGAAACATCTTGGGGAGTAGATTTTCCAAGACCGAACTTGGACTGCCATGATTGCATTTTGATTGCATAGCCCATTGCGTTTAAAGGCTATACATCATGCACAGCTTTCTATGCAAAATGTAGGAATGTCAGAATGCCATTTCATGCAAAAAGGATTGATGGCCGTCGATGACACTCAGTCAACCCTCCAACTGAACACCTCCCCAATGGCTGAGATGGGGCTTATTCCCCTTATGGTTACCAGTGGTGCTGCCAGTGATGTGGAAGATTATAGTGATTCAAGGGGCCCCAGGTTACACAGGGGCCCCAGGTTACACAGGGGCCCCAAAACTGCACATCAGCGTCACCATTATTCTCAGACGGCTTCGTATCATACTTATTCATGAGGCCCTGGATTCATGTCAGTGACCTCATGGGTTAATTTCAGGTTGGGCATAGTTTAAAATGACTAGGTGTAAGAGTGTGAGGCCCAACCCCACACTGAAGCAATATCTTAACCTGTTTTGGCCCTCAGCAGTCCCAAACCGTATCCATGAACCGTAAAACTGTTTAAAACAAATTCATTTACATGCAGGACAAAGGTGATTGAATCCTGGTCATGACCTGGCACTGATAGATTTGGCCAACTCCCAAATCTAAGCAGAAGTAGTGAGACGAAGGACCCCGGTAATTTGCGGAGAGGAGATCGATCACTCGGTTCGGACATTTATTCCATCGCCTTTCTGAAGTCAAAATTGAAAAACAATAAGAAGGAGGAGAAGGAGGAGGAGGGGAAAGCCCAATCTTTACAAGCTGCCGTGAAGGTAAATCCCCAGGGCCGGATAACAGCTCTACTTTGGCTAGGAAATAATGTTTACTGGGCGAAACACCTTTGCTGATGAATAAACAGCATCCACATCCAGCACAGCACATGCTCTGCTGAAAAAGGCTGTGAGCCGGTCACATGACATCATTTTTCATTCTAACCGTGTCCTGATTAGGGCACAGTGGTGGCACTCCAGCGTCTGGGGACTGGATTAAATTGAACCCTTCGGCAAAACACCGCATGCACCCAACTTGCAAACAGAACTTGTTTTTTGTTTGTTTTTGTGAGTTGGGGTTCTGCTACCAGAGAATTACCAAAGCACTGCATGAATCCACCTTGGGAAGCAGTGATTGGTGACCGGATTACAAATGCTTGCCTCATCTGGATTTAGAAATAATGTGAAACCAGTGTCACAACATTGATATGGTCATATTATTTATAATTATGTTTGTGTTCACAAAATATGTCTGGTCTATATTAAGATTCTTGTCCTTGTGGTACGTTGGTAGCCATTTTAAGAATTCCCTTTTTACTTTGGACCTTGATGCTGAACTGTTTCTCATGGACTGTAATGGTAGAATGGGTATTCTGTCTAAATGTATTTTCTTCATGTCTTTCACTGCTCACCTCTGGTAAACTCTGCGGGGTAAATACGTTAAACATTCCCGAATATAAAAGCCGCTGAACGAAAATTATCCAAATTTGCCAGAAAGAGAAGATTCATAAAAGAAGCAGTTCCACGTTGTGTGGGGGAAATTGCGAGATGAACAAAGTGAATATTCAAACCATTTTCTCTCTCTGGCAAGGCGAGAGCTGACTCCATCCAAATGTTTCACTTCTCCAGGCAAGCGAGTGCACTGGCTTAAGTCTCATAATCCCTTTTCAATATCCGTTAGAAATGTCAATATGCCAACAAGAATGCGGGAGATGTCTGTGGAAGCTTACTGTTAAGAACTCGCACTCCAAACAGGTGACTATTTGTCATTGACAAAGAAGCTTTTTCAGCCACTATTACAAAAAAAAAAAAAAATGAAATAAACGGATGTGTGTAGTTAGTGTCTCGCTGGCAGAGATGGCGGATACATATCAGTGGGTGTGCGCTCTCTGTGCTTTGTTTAATGCTCAGCCAATCGCGCTGTGCTGTTTGTCTTTCATCCTCCTGTACGTTCTCACCCCGACAGAGATGCGCACGCGAACCCAGCGGTTTCTCCTGACTCATCGCCATTGTTCGACCGG